GGTCTCTCGCTGCAGGAGGGAGGCTTCGAGTCCGTGCTCTTCTTGCGAGATAACAGCAGCTGCGAGTTCGATGGCGGAGTCTCTGGCACCGTGTTAAATATCTGTTAAAAATAATAAACAAGTTGTTCTCTGGCATCACCCCTCCGAACAGAGCAGCTGCGTACCTGCCGGGTCTGCACGGCTCCGCAGAGCGACATCCGAGGAAGACACGCATTCAACAAGGCAACATTTTGAGTCCAATTTCCAACATTCCACGTTCCCATCCTGTCTGCACTACTTTTCTCTATTCTTCACCCAAGACGCATGTTGCAAGATGTGAAGAACCCCGATACTCGGGCACTCTGCTGAGTTCTCGACGGTGGGGGCTGCCCCAGCAGGTGATGGCGAGACAACCCAGCACATCCCCCGCACGCCTCCCCACGGCCTGGCCCCGGGCGCCCTGCCACCCACCAGTGCCGACCGCCTCGGGAAAGTCTGTGCCACCTCCCGCCACCGCCATCAGAAAACTGAGCGGTCACATTTTTCTCAAGGGGGTGGCAGACCGCTGCCTGGGCTGGGGGGAGGTGTCCCTGCCCAGGGCAGGGGGTGGCACTGGATGGTCTTCAAGGTCCCTTCCAACCCAACCCATTCTATGATTCTATGAATTTTAAAACCGCGCAAACCTGAAGAGCAGCAGCTTTGTTTGGTTTTGATATTTGGTTATTTATTGTTTCTTTTCCAGAACCCCAAGCTCAGCCAACAGCAGCATTGCCCCCAGACCAGCTCTCCCACGGCCCCCCTTGGCTAGACGATATTGAACACCGTCCTTTGGTGTCTGTCCCTGTGGTACCTGTCCCTGCCGGACAGCCGACTGGCACTGCCGGGGGTCGCCGACAGGAAAACCGTGTTTCAGCAGCAGCTGGCTGCCCTGGTGGTGCCGGGGGACTCCTCTGGAGCCCGTGGCCACCGCTGCGGCTCACCGGCAGCCCTGACCATGCAGAGAGCCATCAGGTGCCGCCTGCCAGCCAGCGGGAGCGGCTGCCAGCGCTTAATTGGTTTGTTTCATGTAACAACAACAAAATCCTCACACACACACACATCAACCCTCCGATTTCTACAAATAAATGCTAAAGAGCCAAGACGCGTTGGCCAAAAATTTCCATGTCACATCTCCCCCCCAAAGCACGACGCGGCGGGTGCGAAGGGCAGTGATTACAGCCCTCAGAGAGGAACTAACGAACCCTTCTCAACGAACCAAACACCGCGTGGCTAAGGACACCGCTCCCCAACCATTCTGTTCTCAGGGACTCGCTGCCCGGGCTCAGGTTCGGCGTGGGAGCCCGCAGACGGGGTGATGCGCAGGCAGCAGCGGTGAATCACCGCGCAGAACTCCCGCTCCGGCCCCGGCCCCGCGGGAGGCAGCGGTGGAGTCTGGGCAGAGCGGGGCCGG